ATTGATGTTTTTGTCAAAAATCTTTTAGAAGAAGTTGCACCCAATTACTTTTATCGTATTAAAAACGATTTACTTCAAACAGGTTTTATTCCTTCAATTAGAATTCGCGAGCCTCGATTGACAGATTATAAAACAAAATTGAAAAGAGAAGTTCAATCACGTTTATACCAAGTATTAAATTTTGTTCAGAATCAAGAAGCCAATTTGAATCCATTAAGATTTTTATTGGAAAATGCTGAAGAAAAACTTTCTCAAATAAATGAGAAGATACAAAATTCAATTACATATTTAAGATCGTTTGAAATTCCAAATGAATTGTTAGATACGTATATGTTAGAAATTAATGAATTTTGTTATAATTCTCCAGATTATATTTTAGAACATTTCGAAGAATTTTTAGAGGATTTCAAAGAAAAGAATAATTTAATAGACTAAAAAATTTATTATTTTTATTTATTGTGAATTTTAAATTGTCACTTTTTAAGTGTTACTCCCTATTGAAAGTGTCACTTTTTGGGTGTCACTTTTTCGGAAATTCTTATATACTCACTGAGATGAATTTCGTCATCTTTTCTATCGGATAAAAAAAATATTTTTTTTTAAAAACGTTTTAAAATGGTATGCCATATAGCTTCTTGAATTTGTTAAGAAGTATTGGAACGTGTTTTCCATCTGTATCTCTAGTGCTTACATAAGCATAGCCTGCCTTAGTAAAATATACTTGTAATTTTCTATAGTTTACGCCGGTATAAAAGTAGAAAGAGTCTTGTTCTTCGCTATAGTAGTAAAACTCAAACGTATGCTTACCATAGTCTGTAATTTCAATTGTTTCATCTTCTAGTTCGTCGACAAATTCGAATACTATATCTCCAAATTTGCCTTTGTTCTTATTGTTTTCAGAACGAGTAACCCAACGTAAATTTTCAAGTCTATTGTCATTTCTTATATGGTTTATATGGTCTACAAAAGGTAAATTGTTAGAGTTCGGTATAAAATGAGTTGCAATGACAACATGTTTTAAATAGTTTTTCCCACCCATCTTCATCATAGCATATCCGTCATTTCCCTCCCATCCGCTTAAAACTCTTTTTGTCTCTTTGTTTCTGACTTCAAATGACTCACAACAGTGAATTTCATATTTCTCATCTAACAAACAAGTTTCCCAACGGTCCTTTCCAACAAACTCAGCGTACATTTCAAATAAAATAAAAAAATATTTTTTTTTTAAAATTTACTCAGAAAAATTTTTCTTTGTATATACACCATTCTGTACGTCTAAAAGATTTTTGACATTTGCCAAGAATGTTCGTTTAGACGCTGCCATATAACCATACTCTTGACAATACTGTTTATACGAATCGTACAATGACCTTTCATCTAAACACTCAAAGTTAGTCTCATCTATAAACAGTTCATATACACTCTTGTTTGCTTCTAACAATGTTTGTCTCTCTTCGGTATGTGGAATTTGTCTTGGATTGAACTTAGAAATATCTAATGTCATGAAATATGAGAAACAAGTGGTTGTAAAAGTTAGGTGTCAAAGTTTCTGCTAAGTCGTCAAAATATTCTGTATCTTGCATATGAGCTTCTGACGTTCTGACAACTACATATCTTCTGTCAGAACTTTCTAACTTCATCGGAACGGCGTTGTTTGAAACCATGATGAAATTTGCAACATTTTCACAAACTCTTTGGTCTTTATATTTTCTTTCAACAACTCCAACTTTGTCTGTTATAAGACTCTTCAAAGCATCTGAGTTCAAAACTTTTGTTGTATCTATACTTTGAAGTTCGTTACATACTATAAGTTTCATATTCTCTATTGAAGAGTTAAATTTACCGCAGATGTTTTCTAAGTTTGTCATATTCGGGTTCGAATAGCCCTCTAAAGTTTGCATAAGATATCTGTAAAGAAAGTGTTCTTACCAGTTCCTTGTTTTCCAATTACAATGAGAGCAGTTTCATTTTTAGCACTTGGATGTTGTAAGATGTTTGCAAACCAACATAAGATATACTCATAGACTCTTTCGTTTCATTGCATATAATTTCTTTGACATGGTCTAACCAAGCTTCTATAACATTTTCTTTCCATTCTACTTGTTCGTATTTATATCCAGTGAAGATAGAATAGAAGTTTGGAGAAGGTGTATAGAACTTTATACCACGAACTGAAAAATCTTCTAACTTTGACAATAAGATATCCCAAGCATCTAACATCTTCATACCAACTTGTACGACTTTTATTTTCTTAAGTTTCTGTTTACATTCTTGTTCTGAAACTATTGTCGCTTTAGGTTTGTTAAAGACTACATCCCATTCTTTCATGACATAACATTCTGGGGCAGAGTCGACATAAATGACTAAACGTTTCAAATTCTCGACTGCTTTGTTATAGTCTCGAAATGGACACATATTTCTGAACGCTTGGAAGTCATAAAAATCTGAAACGTCTATTCTGTACATTTTTTTATAAAAATAAAAAAAAAATATTTTTTTTATTCTTGAGCTATTTGTTGTTCTTGAGCTATTTGTTGTTCTTGAGCTATTTGTTGCATTTGTTGTTCTTGAGCTATTTGTTGTTGAAGTTGTTCTTGTAGTACAATACTTTCACCAGTTGCATCTTCCAATTCGAAACTTTCTGCCGTCATTGACAAATACATAGGACATAAAAGTTTTACAGGAACAAAGTTTGCGTCAACTAAGGTTAAGTTTATGTTTGCCAAAGTGTTTGAGTTCACTAAAGCTGAAAACTCTGCATTCGAATGAACAATAGGCAAACCAGCAGAGAAAGTGTTGTTTATACGCATGAGTATCTTTTGGTCATAGTAGTTTCTGTCGACATTCGAATAGCACTTTGAACCTAAGTTTGAAACAATATATAAGATTGGTGTACTTAAAGTCAATGGAACAGACATTCCTTGTATGACACCTTTTCCTGTTATAGGAAACTGTTGGTAGTAAAAACCAGATATAAGTTTTGTATTATCTCATATCGTTTATACTAAACTCAGTCGGACATCCAAACATAATGAAACCTGCTCTAGTTGCAGCACATGTTACATCCGTCCTTAAAGTATTAAATAAGTCAACAAAACCTGTTGGTGGTATATCTGAGTAAGTATCTTCAAAGGAGTATTTTTTACCATTCACAACAACAAAGTCTTCTGGTGTCAAAAGAGCAAAACAGGCTTTAGTCGTCATCGTGTTTAAGGTCAGTTTACAATATCGTCCTTGAGGACTTTGTAAGTTTGTTGTTATAGAATTATATGACTCAGGGTTTTTAGTCGTAATAGTATAAACCACTATGTCTTCTGCCATTTTTACTTAGCAAGTAAATTTTAATGAAATGTTGTGGTCGTCAAATATTTTTATGACGTCTGGGAAACTATATTTTAAGTTCAACGTTTCACCTCCTTTCATAACGTATATCTTGTCAATGACATTATATGAAACACCACAGCAAGCAATGTCGGGTTCTATTTCTTTGATGTTTATATCGTCTGCCTCTGTCAAAAGTTTCAATAGTTCTTTCAAAATTTCATGAGGTGCGATGACATATGAGTTCACTTTTACAGGGTTGTGCTCAACCAAGTTTAACATTATACCCAAAGCTTGACAAATCTTCTCCTGAGTTTTAAGTTTGTCTTTCAGTTGCTTGTAGTCGTTTCGAATATCTGCAACAGAACTTAAGTCTCTGCTAACTTCAGGATATGTTGGTTGTTCTTTTACAGGAACTATTGTTATACCATCTTCGTCTTCGTATGGTTTCCCCACTTCAACATCTCTGTCTTTGACATTGACAACAACACTTTGACTGTTTGTTTGAGTTGGTGAATTTAACTTCACATCTGCCATCGCCATTAAACCTTTTGAAACACTTACGCTTCTATTTTTCGGAAATGACATTTTACTGAGAATAAAAATATGGACGTATTTGAGTATCTCTTCGAATTGAAGCAGAACAAAGTTTACACACACAAACAATACAAGTTCATTGACAGAGTAGTTCTTTACACAAACAATGGAAAATGTTATAGAATAGCAGTCTTTGCTGAACCAAAATATTTTCATAAGCAAAGAAGTTGGTATAACCGAGATGGTGAAAGTTCTTGAAGCAGACAAAAATATAACAACAAAACTGACCGATATTTCTAAAGGAAAGTTTTTAATACAATATTATATCAAAACTGGCGTACTGTCAATATTTGACGGAGAGAAGTCAGTTCAAGAACAACTTACTGACCTGCTGCCAAATCTGCTCGATGGAAGCTGTCGTTATGCCAATCTGAGGAGCCCAGCAGGTTTCATCGAACGAATCTTCAAAAGAGCATCTTCCGTGAAAAGTGCTATTGGTTTTGTAAACTTCTTTGCTTTCAATTCATCTGGACCGTCTCTGTCACCAGTATATTGTATTTGAACTGTACCAACAGTTGAAATACCACCCATAAAGTCTTCTGAGTCAGCAAATGGAATGCCAAGCCAAAAGTTTGAACGGTCTCCATTTGTATATTGAGTGTTTTGAGCTCTGTATGGGTCCATACTTTCACATATGGCATAATAGAACTTTGCATTTCAGGGTTAATGGTTGTTGTGAAGTTGTTGTTAAAGTTCATAGCATCTAATGTCAAGTTGTATGACCTCATATCCTCAACTGTAGAATATTCTTCTCTTGGATAGTATTTGCCATCTATGTTTATATGATATTTAATACCGGGGTTGTAGAAACAAGAATAGTCATTTATAGTTCGTCTGAACAGTACAAACATAGTATCTGCATGTTTCATTGCAGTTGTTAAGGCAATATCTGTTCTTGCACCTGGGTCAGCACTTTGGTTTCCAACTTCACCTGCAAAGTCTTTGACAGATATTTGGTGTATAGGGAACATAAGTGGAACTGCAATATATTTGGCAGCTAAAGCATTTGAAATATCTGGGTCCAACATATAGACTGCAAGTCTGCTTTCTATTCTCTTGCATTCAAATTTTTGCATGTGAACTTAACTGGGTCCCAAGCAGTTCCAGCAGCATTGAAGTAGTAGTTTACTTCAGTGTTGAGGTTTGAGAAACCAAAGTCTAAGTCAACTTTGTCTTTGCAAAAGTCACAGAACTTGGCTCCACCAGTTCCAGCTACAGTAAGAGTGAATGGGTCTTGTGTTGGTGCAATGACTAAGTTATTTTTGCTTGGAGTAAGTTCGATAGAAATTTTTCCTGCCCAGTTTGGCAAGTATCTTAAAAACCTGAAGATGAGGAAAGATGACAAAGGAACTCTAAGTTTCAATTTTACTTTGGTTACTGCTGCTGCAGTTTGTCCAGAAAGGTTAACATAAACTCCTGGAACGTTAGGGTCAAGTCTTCTTATTTTCTCAATAGTTGCATACTGGTCTGTTTGTTCTCTAGCTTGTGGTTGTACTGAGTTTCTTAAAGCGAACCATTCATAGTTTGCCCATGTTACTGTTTGAACTAAGTCAGAGTTAGAATATATCTTATATCCCATGAAAACTTCTGGAGCATATTGGTATCCGACATAGAAAATTCCATTGCAACCTTTCTTGTCAGACAACTTGGCAGAAGGTTTTATTTCAATGTCTTGTTCCACGTATAAGAAAGAGTTGTCAATAGAAATTATATGAAACCTGTCGCAAGCAATATCTACTGTTGTTGAAGAACCTTCTCCAAACTCACCTACGTTTCCATAAGAAACAGCAGTTGTATATTCGTAAGTTCCAGGAACTATTTCTGACCTTCTAATGGCATTGTCGCATTCGTTATACCATTCGGAAACATTTCCATTCATAGCATCCAAAACTGTTGGCGTTATATTCTGAGCGGCGTACATTTCATATGAGTAAAAATATAGAATAGTTGGATTTATATGTCATAATAGAACCCACGTGGACCAAGCTTTACTTTCTTCCCGACTGAGTTTTTAACTCTTCTTTTTCCTTCATTGCCACTACCTTCACTAGATGAAGTTACTTCTTCACTACTTTCACTTTGTTCTACTCTTCTTCTTTGGTGTCGCTTTGGTAACTTGCCCTCTGCTTCAAGTTGTTGCATCTTTGCCTCATGTTCACCTAGTATGTTGTAAATTTCCCATGTCCTTTTTGCCTTTGGGCTCTGGTCGCCCATCTCAGGTAACCTATATCCTAGAAAGAGTTTGTCATAGTTTGTATTTGAGTCTTTGCGTATTGTTTGCATGACTCTGTCCTGAGTTTCCGGTTCAAGCTCTTCAAACAGTGCCTGTCCATATGGAATAAGCTCGTTTCCAAATATATGTTTTTGTAGCCATTCTGGTTTTCTTTCCATGTTACCAACTATATCTTTTGTGAATGGGAAAGCTTTTACCCAATCTTTCAGTCTTGCGTCGTTTATTTCTGTAGTTGGTTTTATTTTGTCAAGGAACATGTTTTTCAATACTAACATTTCATTTGGTACTGTCCATTTGAGTTTTCTTAAATATTCATCCCTTCTCAGTTCATCGTCTGCAAAGTAAGTTTTTATGACATTTTGTAAACTTTCATTTGCAAGGTCATGTACAATAGGTTCTCTTCCTTCTCTGTCCATAACTTTCTTTCTAAACTCTTCACCAAATATACCATCTCTATGGTTCTGTGTAGTTCTTTGAGATAAATGTTCTAGAACGTCAGGTGTTATATTTCCATCAGCCATGTTCATTTCATACTGGTCCAAAATATCTGCATGTTTCATATCTTTCAATGGCATTAAAGCCGCGCTTAAAATACCAGCTATGTCTCGTTCACCATTGACTTCCATTGCGTCTACAACTTCTTGGAATTGTGGTTGTAAGTTTATGAACCACCTATCCGGGTTAGCTTTATGACCCCATCTCATTGTAGTTCCATCGTCTGCAGAAACAAAAGTAGGTTTGTTTCCATCTTGGTTAGGTTCTGAATGAACTTTAAACAATGTTTCATTTCTATATGTTTTCTTGAAATTTAACCTTTTATTTTCACCGAGTTCATCCGAAGATTGAACGTTAAATGCTCGTAAGTAAAAAGGGTTGTTGTATTTGTGTACATTTTCTTTCAGTACTTCCATTCTATGCTGAATATTTTCATCTGGTGTTGGAGTCTTTTGTATGTCGGCAAACATTTTTCGATATTCTTCTACTATGTCAGCCGAATTTTTCTTAGACTCTTGGAAATATTCCATATTCTCCGCATACTCTTGTTGAGGGTCAAGATTTTTCGGCTGTTCCAAATCTTCATCTAGTTCTGTGAAGTTAGTTTCCAAAGGAAGGACTTGTTCGTTTCCTTCAGGCTCTTCTAGCTGTTGTTGCTGAACTATTTCTTCCATGTCTGGTTGTATCTGAACTTCTTCCTGTGGAGTTTCTTGTACCTCATCTGCTGGCATTTCATATATTCCGAGACCGTTTTTAACAAGTTCCCTATCTAAGTCATCCGGACTCATAAACCTTTCTTCTTTCGTTCCGTCTCTATTTTTTACGCGTTTCATGACGGGAGTTGAATTGTCATTTAGCTCTGACATCAAATATCTCGGAGTAAATTCGTTCATGTCATTTGGATGATATGCTATTAAATCATATCCCTTAGCGAGCTTGTATTTTCCAGGTTTGAATTTATATCCGTTTTGGTGCTGAGCCATAAAGCTAAATAGGTCCGGGTCAGTATTTCCATCCTTGAACTTTCTAATAGCTTCTTTATATCTGTCACTAAAGTCAATACTATCTGGGTAACCATAGTCTTCCTTAAGCCTTTTTAAGAATTCTTGGTTTCCTTGTTCTCTACTTCTTTTATGTCCTTGCTCTGTTTGTGGTTGTTGTTGTGCAGGGTTTTGAACTGTTGGTTGTGGTGCTGGTTGTGGAGGTGGTTGTTGTGCAGGGTTTTGAACTGTTGGTTGTTGTGCAGGGTTTTGAACTGTTGGTTGTTGTGCTGGTTGTGGAGGTGGTTGTTGTGCTGGTTGTTGTGTTGGTTGTTGTGTTGGTTTTGGTGCATGCCTGTGTCTATGTCCATGTGACGATGTAAATGTTTTAGGTAGTCCTGGTGCAGGTGCTTCTCTTGGAGGGTTTGGTGGTATATAAATTCCAACAGCTGGTATATAAGTTCCACCAGCTGGCACATATGTTCCATCTGCAGCGTAATGTCCTACCTGACTTTTCGTTTTTAAGAAAGCATTTACTAGGTCTGTTTTGGTCTGTTGTAACTCTTTTTCTTGACTTTTCACAACAGTTGCTCTAACGGCGTCATAGGCACTTTGAACTGCCTGTCTCGTTGCTGCATCTGTTATTTTCGTCATATTTTGTGCTACTTCTTTTAACTCTTTGTCGAAACCTTCAGACTTCAGTTTCTTTCCAGATGAGAAGTCGTTCACTTGTTTCACCTTACTATGAAGAGCTTCGAAGGCGTTCTTAAAGTCAGCATTTGTTAAAGCTTCATTTGAACTGTCTTCATCCGCTTGTATTTTGTCCTTATTGACCCTATAAGCTGGGCTGCTTTAGCGTTGGCTTGGGCATCTAACCAGTCATTGTTAGCTTTTATATATTCTGCGCTTTTCATTGCCTTTTGCATGGCTGCGTCGTTATTTTTACTTTCTTGTGCTAAGTTTTCATACTGTACGGTTTGGTTTTGCAACTGTAAAAGTTTTTCTGCCTTTACATTTGCTTCAACTTCTTTTTTATACTCATCGCTATCCATATATGTCTTCAGGGCTTTTTGTTTTATCTCTTCATCTTTCAGTACTTTATATCGAGTAGTATGGTTTTTCAAATTTATGACATCTTGTTCCATTTTTGCTACTTCTGCTGCTTTTTCTGACACTTTTTTCGCATATTCCTCTGTACTTAGTTCTTTCAGTTGTTCTTCTTTCTTCTTTTTCTCTACGTTTAACTCATTGAGTTTCTTTGTGTGTCTGTCATATTCTAGTTTCTTTTCGTTTTCACTTATTTGCTTCTGTATGTCTATGTTTGACTTTTTGACATCTGTTATTTGATTTTTGAGTGAACTCAAATTCATTTGACTTTGAGGGTTATAGGCTGTTCCGTCTGCAGCTCCACCATAGCCTGCCATTTTCGCTAAAAGTGCCGCTCTTAAACCTCCACTCTGTGCACCAACAACTCGGTTTAAAAGCATAGGATTGCTTGACATTTGTTGCAACATAGTGGGGTCATTCAGCATTTGTTGTTGCAACTGTTGTTGTGGTGTCAGTCTTACTATTGGATGTTTCAATGCTCTCTTCCTCTTACGTATATTCTTACGTAGCTTACGTGGCATTTTAAGTGAAGTTAAAAAGCGGTTTTATACTAAACATCTTCGGGGCTAGAGGGCACGAAGTGCCTGGAAGCCCCAATACCTTTTTTTTTTTACCGTATATTATTTTTTAAGCTATCTTATTTTTTGAAATTTTATTCAAATCTTTGGTCGCAAGAAGAATTGCATGATAAATAAAAACATTTAATCAAAGTCAATTTTATTTTTCATATTCAAATGGACTGAGTGTTAACATTTAACATTTTTTGCTAATTGTCGTCAAAAATTAGGCGTAAAGCAAAAATTGATATTTCATATGGTTTTATGATAGATAAGCATTATATTTCCACTCATTATATTCGTAAATTTTGAGGTTTATCCTTCGCTTTTAAGATCATTGAATTTGATTTTTATATAAAATAGTTATATATTAGAAAATAATATGAGTTTATGTGATATTATTTTTCAGAAGATTTCATTCTATATGCCTATGAAAAGTACTCTCAAAACTAACTTTTCCTAATTATAATTAAATCTAGAATATTGTATTATGCTTAGTATTATTTCATTTTTCTCATGCAATTTAGAATTTACAAATGTCAAAAAATTGAGAGCTGTCACTTTTGATGAATTTCTGTTTATTACAGCATTGTTATTAATAATGAAAAATAAAGCTTATTTCAATGAAAATTGTTCTGCAAATTTATTTCACTTTTGACCTCACTTTTTCCGTAATTCAATTTTTTACTTTTAATATTTTAGATCTTCATAATATCATTTGAAAAATTAACCATATAAAAAAATCAAGTTAACAATTCACTTTTTCCGTAATTCAAAAATCAAAAATATAAATAATATATCTTTTATCAAATATTATTATTATATTCTATGAAAAATGAGGTCCGGAAATTTTGCGGATTCCCGTAACTCAATTTTACGGAAAAAGTGCAGTAAACTATTCAAAATACGGAAAAATTGGTGTAAACTAATGATTTTACGGTAAAATCACGGAAAGTCCCGGAAGAATATATGTGCCTATATGAAATTATACAAAAATGAATCAAACGCATTTTAAAAGATTGTTCTTGTATTATAAATGCTATTCGCAGATTTATTAGTTGAAGAAAATTACCAAATTTTTGCCGATTTACAAAAAATGATTTACAAAGCATATTTTTATAAGGCTTTAAAAATCTTTAAAATGTGACCGGTGACGGAAATCCATGGTAACCAACCGCGGTTCCCGTTTGGAATGCCATATATTTATCCTATTTTCATCCCATTTTACTGTTATCGCCTAGTGAATGTACCTTTTCAAATTGAAAACGAATTTATTCAATGTTAAAATTTTATCATAATAAATTAATATCATTATAAAATAATAATTAGGGATATTATTCAGATAAAATAGTTTCCGCTATTTGAATTTGATAAATTTAAAATCGATTTGATTTCAAATTATTTTATCAATCATAAAAGTAGTATATTATCAATAATATTGAGTGAAAATAATTCAAAATCGTAAACGCCTTTCAAAAAAAATGCTATTCCATTAAACATATTTAGTTATACTAAAGCATTTTTAACATTTTTCCAAAAATTTAATGAATTCAATGAATGAATGCTATTTGATCATAAATCTAAGGCTGAACAATATTTTTCATGCCGAATCCAATCGGGATTATAAACGATATTCAAATCATGAAGCCGATATCCTTCAAAAATTGAATGGATCTATTTATGATACTATTCAAAAACTTAAATGTCACATTGAAAAATTTGAGATATACCATTGTTATTCCCACAAAAAAATTTATTCAACCCATCAGAAGTAAGACCACCCATCTCTAGGTTCCCGCATAAAAATTGCTATACAATCTCATCTGAATACATGGATAATATACCTCCAAAGTTTTCTCCTCTCAATTTTTGATTGATTAAAAAATTGAGAGCAAAAGTGTCTGACACACAAATCATCATTTCAAATAAAAGATGAACGACGAAGAGCTTGAATTCTTCCAGGAGCAAGGACTTGTATGCCAGGACGTTATTGCTAGTGGATCCTATGGTATTATCTATAATGTCTATCATCGTGCATACAATACAAATTTCGCTCTGAAGAAAATCCCACAAAAGTTCTTCCATGAAGGTGAAATAGAGTGCCTCATGAACATTGATGATCCAAGAATAGTTAGACTTTATAAATACTACAAGTTCAATGAATATGTTTACTTATTGATGGAATATTGCCCATCTGATTTAGAGAAGTATATGAGAACTCATTCAATAACAAGCCAAGAAGAAATGAAGCGCATTATTCATGACGTTATAGCTGCTATTAAGGTCTGTCATGATAGAAACATCGCGCATTGTGACATAAAGCCTTCGAATTTTTTAATTGATAATTATGGAAGAATAAAAATCGGAGACTTTGGTCTTTCTATGATAGATTCTCAATCATGCTGCTGCAGAGGTACCCCTTTATTTATGGCACCAGAAGTTTACTTGAAGAATGGATATGATCCAATTCTCGCTGATGTCTGGTCCGTAGGCGTTCTAACGTTTCTCATTGCAACTGGTGAATTTCCATTCTACGGAAAGGATAGAAATACTTTGGCTCAGTCCATAAGAGGTGGATTTTATAATGACCGTGAAGTTAAAGATCATTACTTGAAAAATCTTATCAGACACTGTCTAGATAAAAATCCACAAAACAGACCAAAGATTTCGGAACTTCTCGGATTTCAATATTTCCAGAATTCCTTAAAGGTTCCAGAATTTTCAAAGCAAGACCAGTTCCTTTCTACTTGCAGACTCGTTAGACCAAAGATTGAAAAGCGTAGATCCTCCTTCGGAGATCAATTTGTAAGAATCCCCAAAATCAAGATCCATCGCAACTCCAACGATTCAATATTAGTATAATTTACTCATGAAAACGAAATTGTTTATAAAACTATATGTTTATCGTATTTCAATTTCTCTTTCGAAATTATTTTTTTCAGATTTAGCTCCGATTGAAGATTTGGAATAGAGTGTATGTAAACAGTTAGTTGGTATAATTAGTTTCCGATTTGAGAAAAGATATTTTCAGGATTTGAAAAAAATGAGGTATCTTGATAAGATGTATAAAATTAGAAGCTTATATATGTGGCAAGTAATTTCGCACTTGGTTCGTAGTGATCGTGACTTAATTTAATTCTCTGGTCAAATAGAAATTCTTTTTTAAGACTCTAGGACATGTAAATATCGCATCGTTCGTTTTCAATGATTAGTTCTATCGACATATTTCGATTCTTTGTTCTCTCTTAAAAATCGGAAATATGATGAGGATTGAGCTGAATAAATATGTAATTTCAACGGTACTATGCACAAATATCTGTAATGTTCCAACATAATAAATTGATGAAGAAACAAGTTTTAATTGTAAACAATTGAAATTTAGTAATAAAACTGCATGATTGTTATAGATGGTTCTATTCTATGGTAGTGTCGGTTAACTAACGAGTTCCTGAAAGATTTATGTTGAATAATATTGAATAAACATATTAAATTAGTCTAATATATAGAATTGAACATTCTCAAATGCAACAAGTTACTTATTGTGCAATATATCTGTCATGCTTTGACTTTGATGCACGTAATTCAAGATGGCAGGTTCAAAGTGAATTGAGGCAAGAAAGGTCGACCGAACTCGTCTCAATAGTGTAAACTTGTGGAATTTTTATGTAATCCGTATATATCATAGTTATCGATATGGTATATATCGGCAACTTCTTTGAGTTAAATAGATATGGACTCTAAACACTAAAAACAGAACAAATATCCAAATTATGATACGAGTCCTATTTATAAATGACCATTATTCATATTTTCTTGAGACGATAGCGTGTCAGAGGAATCAATTGTTATATTTTATAAAAAACAAAATATATTTATTCTCAATTCAATAAATAATATAAATATTGCCATGATCCTTCATCGACCAGGTTTGTAAAGAATATATATATGTATTTGATGCATTTTCTTTAGGGTTGTTAAAAATATCAAAAATTAGCGTTTTGAAGACACCATGGTGTCTTATAATTTTCCCTTCCTTATTGGCGTGTAGAAATAAATGCGCCAATAGATTGAAGAAGAAGAATTGTTTTTCTCTTAATGAACTTTAATCCTTTTGATATAAGAATATTAAAAACATTAATATAATTTCGATTTCGGAAATTAAATTTCCAAATTTTTTGTCGATTTCGGAAATAACAGGATCCCGCATCCAACACGCAACAACAAAACACAAAACACACTTTTTGGTTCTTTCATCGTTTTAATCGTAATTTATGTAATACATGATTTGGATAAATTTTACAAAAATAGAACCTATATTATATTCTTTTCAAAGATTCTTGCAAATCATCAAAAATAATTGTATTTTAAAAAACGATCAAATTATCCTTTCATTATTTTAAACTTAAATTGGTTTTTATGATTGACTAAAGCAATCATATTTATTCATCATTAAATAAACAAAAATATAATATTTGAGAGTTATTTCAAAAAAAACACATTGAATTTATTAATTTGTCTCAATTTCAGTATTATAAATTTTTATAATTTCAATATTTTGAAATACACTTTTTAATATTTCAATATTTATGATATTTCAATGTATTAAGTGGTCTCAAATTGAGCTTCTCAAATATAAGTTGGCCTATTCAAATAATAAAATTAAATAATATTTAAAATAATAAATAAAAGTGATTGAGGTCATAGCAAAACGGCTGTTTCAGTCATTAATTCTTAAAAATAAAAAGGGTAAAAACTAAATAAAATGTGTAAAATTCAATAGTGTCTGTGCTATCGTTCAATTTGAAGGTGTCTTTTGAAACCGCAAGACACATTGAATTTTTGAATAGTGTATTATGGTTTGACAGACACCAATGAAAAAAATAAAATGATATTTATTTTAAATATATAAGATCCTTATATAAAATATAAATATTTTATCGTTTTATTTTCTTGTTTTAGAAATGTTTTTTATTGAACAATCAATAAAACTAACTCCAAAATAAAATTTTTGATTTAAAGACACTATGATGACACCAGGCAAATCTTCCAAGACACCTATCGTCGGGAATCTAACAACCCTAATTTTCTTTAACGCAAAATTAATCCAAAAAATGAGCAAAAATCAAATATCAGGAAAAAAAATTAATAATCTAACTATCAATCTCCTTTTGAAACAAAATCCCAAACACCGATAAATTAGATAAATTGTAAATAGTGCAAAAATCATCATTTATTTCCCAAAATTCGAGATGAATTAGTCAAATTTAGTTTATCATTTAGTTATAAAAGCAATTATATGCAAGAGACTATTATGAATAATACCATATATCGCATGTAACTCCTGGTGTTTACATATTAAACGAATTTGTTGAATAAATGACTAGGATAAAAAGGTTATTCAAAATCAATATCTTTTATTGAATTTTGGAATAATAAATCTTTATTTCGTATAATGGCTGAAGATGTTTACTGTTATGAATTGGCTTTCCAGCATAATTCGAAATTATCTGATGAGAGAGTGGCAACAATTATGTGATATTTTATGCCGAACACAGGTAGCTATATTCATATCAATGTGTAATTGCATCATGGATAAATTTTTGATCCGCTAGCAAAAGTGACAAAATTTAGAAATCTCATGCTGATTTTTAATTTTTTCTTGCTAATTCAATCTAAGACAGAGGTTACAAATCCACCTATTTCATTTTACAGCTCAGATGTACACTTCTTCCCTGGATCAACTCGAGTTCCTCTAAATCAAGTTGCATCATATCTTAGCACAAATGGATTCTTAACAAATGAATCAGCCGAACGCATGGAAAAACGAATGAAATTCGCAACACAAGCTGGAACTTTAGAACATACACTTGATCTTAATATAAATCCTTACTCAACTTCCACAAGAATTGCAAAGGAGATATCAACTAAAATCTGTTGCAAGAAAGATGGCCAATATGTTAACATTAGTATTGGAAAAGTTGTTGCTACAACTTATATTCGCTCAGAAGTTGTTACAACAACTTCATCCACATTCCTTTGGTGGGAATGGGATAAGTCAACAACAATAGAATGGAGACCTCTTACAGGATCCGAACTTTCTCAAGTTGAAGATTATCTTTCAAATCTTGCACATATCTATGACTTCAGAATGAATGAAGTCACATACTAATGATTTTTTGTCATGTTTAAACTAGTATTTATTTTAATATTTTTTTATTTTTATTTTTTATTCAAGCAATAAATGAAAGAAAAATAGCTTAGTAGGAACTTATACTGAAAGACTACAATTCTTCGTATATCTTTATTTAATTTCCCTTGAATTCTATGAAATTATCCAACATAAATGTTAAATTCTATGTTAAAAAGAATTACCTAATCCATCGATTATTATATATTCATTATTTAGAGAAAAATATTTTTATGGTTTACAAAATCTCCCTCAAAAGTGACAAATTTTCATGCTTTCCTTTTTTTCAGTGCTTTCAATTAGTGGAACCACCGTTACAGTTCCACCAATTGAGTATAAAGACGTCAACGTAAAATATGAATCCTACCATTCTTACGCTACTTTGGCTACACTAGAAAAAGTTTTAGTCCAAAGTAAATATCTTACACCAGAGTTAGCCAAAAAGGCCGCCCAGAAAATGAAATTCGCAACAACTTCATCAACACTCGAGCATACGTTCACAATGGACATTGATCCTAAAAATACAACAATCAGATTTGCTTCAAGAATTGCAGGAAAAGTTACCATCTCAAAGAACAAGAACAGCCTTGATATCAACATTAAGAGAACTGTAACTACATGCAAAGTTATCTCCCAAATTGTTACGACAAGATGCAAATCTTTCCTTTGGTGGGAGTGGGATAAAAGCATTGAAATCCAATGGAGACCATTGGAAGGCAAGGACTTGGAAGATCTCGCCGATTACTTAGGAAGTGTATCTAATTACCAGAAATATTTCTCTAATTAGGTAAAATCTAGTATTCTATATTGTTAAAATACATATATTTTTAATACTGAGAAACAACTCTGACATAATAATAATCCTTAAATTTATTTATAGATTTTTAGTTTCTGAGCTTAAGCATATTTACCATATTCTTGAAATGTGAAATAATTAAGTCCTCAAATCCTCAAATTCTAAATAAAACAAAAAAATCTCTTATTTTATAATATTGTTCTATTTATCGAGGACAATTGTAAAGTTTTTACAGTATGAAATCATCGGCCCCATCAGATAATTCAGGAAAATGTGACATTTTCTCTAAATGCTTTAATATAGATTCACTAAGTAAATTTGATACACTATAAATTATCAGATGATAATTATGGAAGCCTTAATGTTACTGTTCATCGCAATCAATACTCTTTTGGATACCCATGTGATTCATCTACGGGTAATTGCACATCATATACCGTTGATTTACCTCCAGGAACCTACAAATTCGAAGTTTGGGGATCATCTGCTAAGTTTGGATATGGAACTCCAGGCTTAGGGGGATATTCTTCCGGAATATTAATAATCAACGAAAGTCTCTCGCTTTATCTGTTCGTTGGATCTAATGCACTATTTAATGCATTATTATATCCTCCATACATCGGCGTCTATCCAGGCGCATCGAGTGATATAAGATTGAATGTTAGTTCAAATTTTGAATGGTTTGATGCGGTTTCTCTTAGGTCTCGAATTTTGGTTGCAGCAGGCGGAGGGAGCGCAGAATTCAAAGGTTCGATAGGAGGAAATGGTGGAGGACTTGAAGGTGAATCAGGGCAATCAGATTGTACTAATACTGGACCCATATGTCCTGAAATAATAATGAATGGAGGCACCCAGCTTCAAGGAGGTTTTGCATCGAAAGTTAATAAATTTGGTACTTATGTAAAACCAGGATATGATGGATTATTTGGGATGTCTACGAATGTTAATATAAGTAATTGGGGCGGTATTGCAGGAAATGGATATTGGAGTGGAGGTTCGCCTGCCTGGGCAGGTGCTGGAGGTGGAGGGAGCTCGTTTGTATCAGGGCATGAAGGATGTATAGCTTTGAACAGCTCTGAAAATGAAAATCCTAATCCAAATAATAGCTCAGTCCACTATTCAAACATAGCTTTTTTGCAGCCATCTATGCATAGAGGTAACACAACAATGCCTCTCTATTATTCGCCGAATGCCTATGGGATAGGAAATAAAGGTAGGGGCTGTATCAGAATAACAATATTAAGCTTCCCAGAACCAACTTGCAGATCATTTTTATCTTTTTCTTTTAATATTTTATTAATTTCGGTGTTTATAGTTATGTAAAGGTAATATAATGAAAATTAACGTTTGTTGTTAGATTTTCAGACTTTTTTTATCTAAATCTCAATTTCATAGCACATATAGTTGAAAGAATATGAAGATCTACATAAGTATTTATGGATACAATGAACATATACCCAAATCTTGATAATTACCATATAATGCAATCTTATTTCATGTCATATATGTAGCTATATGGGATTGGAATTCAATTCTGATGGTTAACAATTACATAAAAGAAATAAATACTAGTTGTCATGATATTTTTCATAATTTTTTTTAGAAACAAGTTTAAAGAAAATGATCTAAAATTTAATCATCGTAAGAATCTTTCATCTGCTTTAATGGTCTTTGAATGAATCAATTTATAAAAATAGATTATTCGAATGTGAATAATTTGGTGATAGAAAGGAAAGATAAAAATAATGTCATATTTGGTAATAAAAACATTCACTTTTTAAAAATAAAATAAATTTCAAAAATATTATAATAATTATTTCTTTCTTGATGAAGCTTCCTTAGTATTACTAGCAGCAGAGTGTGAAGACATCGCAGCTTGTGATGTCTTATCATCCTCTTGTGCCTGATCATTCCTTTTAGCCGGTAAAATTGAAGAAACAGTCTTTCTTTCGTTGTATCTTCTCTTTAAATCTTCGTAATCCAAACCGAATTCAGTTGCAATTCTTCTCAGATCATCTTCATCAGCTGTTGCTCTCTTTAATATCTCCATTTGTGATTCCATCTTACGTCTTTCTTGGCTCAATTGTAGTTTAAGTCTTTCTCTTCTCATCTTTGCTTCTTCTTTCCTTTGTTGTTCAGCTTCTATTCTCTGTAATCCTTCATCAACTTTCTTACGAAGTTCTTCTTTTTCGTTTTGTCTCTTTCTTTCATTGATGGCCGCTTGTTGTGTCTTTATCTCGTTAGAAACACGAAGTTTCACGGAGTTATGGAGCATCTGCTTCTTTGATTGCAATTGAAGAGTTTTAGCTCTTGCTTCTGCTTCTAACATCTTTCTTTCTAGTTCTTGAGCTCTTTGTTCTTCTTCTTGTCTTTGTTTTTCTAATTTACTTGCAATCTTTGCAGATCTGTCTGTAACTCCTGAAACAGCTGCCATTGCTCTTTCAAGTCTTTCATGTTCGATCTTCTTAACTCGTGCTTCTGCTTGGAGTGCTGATTCAGTAAGTTTCCGTTCCATTTCATTTCGTTGTTCAATGACTTTTTGACGTGCAATTGTCACTTTTTCAAGTTTAGATTTTTCTTTTTCTGACATTGTTTTTTGGATTTGGATTCTTTTTTCTTCTGCTTTTGCAATGTTCTCGAGAACTTTCTTGTCTTTTTCTTCAGCATTTTTGATTTTCTTTTCTTGTTCTTCACGCATTTTTTCTTCAATTTTCATACGAATTGCTTTAGTCTGTTCTTCTCGTTTCTTACTTTCTTCTTCATGTTTCTTTCTTTCTTCTTCAAGTTTGAGAAGTCTTTGTTTCTCTCTTTCTTCTGATTCACTTTGTTTTTCATCCAGTTTCTTTCTTCTTTCTTCTTCCATATCACGTATTTTCTTTTGAACAATGGCCATCTTTTCTTGACGTTTCTTCTCTTCTTCTTGTTGTTGTTTTTGTCTTCGTTTTTGGTCTTCTTCCAAACGTCTTTCAAATTCTCTTTGTTGTTCTTCTGATTTCTTGGCAAGTTCTTCTTCTTCCTGGCGTCGTTTCGCTTCTTTCTCGCTTTGTTCTTCTAAACGTTTCTTAATTCGTTCTTTTTCTTGTTCTTTTGTCTTCTGAATTTCAAGTTCACGTTTTCTCTTCCGTTCGAGTTCTTTCTGCTCTCGACTCTTGGCGGCTTCGTTAGCATGGTTGATGCTGATAGCGCCAATGATGAGTTGTTCGACTTCTTTCTTTTGTCGACGCTCAAGAGCATCTAATGAAGCTTGATCGTTAACTGAAATGACAACATCGTTAACCGTACTTGTTGTTGTAGTTTCTTGCGTTTTGTTGTTTTCGGAGTTAAGTACTTTTTCGCGTTCTTCTTTGACTTGTTGGATTAATTTGTCAACATTAGCACATAATTCACGTTTAGCATACGCTCTGCACTCGGCATCTGTAGAATATGTATTAAGCGATGAATCTGTTGGATATTGAAGATATTGTTCTGTAATTCCGAGTTTATGCATGGCAACAAGAGTCGCATATTCTGTAAATCGTGGTGGTAATGAAGGATTGTAGTTTGTGATAGAACCACCTTGATTACCCATTGATCGACGAATACTTTTCAGTTGTGACTTGAACGAATTTCCTGTTTGTTTCGAAACTTCTGTTTCATTTTTATCTTTATTTGCTGCTGTATTCTGTTTGTCTGTATTTTGTGCACCTTTGTTGATATTCTTACTCGTTTCTGCTTTAGAACTCATATCAAGGCGCCAAATAACGTGTTTACGAAAACTGACAATTAAATAATTTACATTGGCATTTTACAAATACGAACATTTATTTATAATTTGATATTGCTTTTAAATATTTAAGGGTGCACACGAGATGATCATTTAAACTTCAGAATTTAGAACCTTATTTTTAGGCATTATCTTGGCTACCTATTTAGGCTCGAAAAGCAAAAAATATCAAAAAATACAACTTGACTCCATTCTGACCCTTTCATGGAGGTAGTTTTTATCCGCTAGTATTTTCCCTTTGAATCTCTTTACAATTCGAAATCAAATTCAAAACTCAGTAGAAGAAAGGAAGAATCGACTTACTACGGTTGTAATACGAATAAATACATATATTTAATTATTTTTATTTACATAATAATTGTTTGAAGCTCATATTCCATCAAATTTTTAAATAAAAACATTAAAATGTTGAAAATGTTCATATATTTTAATAGGGTTTTGGCACTTTATTGAGGAATTACTACATACATAGTCGAACTGAACTTGATATTTTGAAATTTAAATTATTTATCAAAATTAAAATTTAACTTGAAATTTATAATTATTTAGTCATATTTTGCATAATTCTAAGTAGATTTGTAAAAAATCAAGAAAGAAAAATTTTAACGTGCATTATTTTTTCTTTTTTATAATAATACATATTATTATATAATTAACATATTCATAATGTTTCACCCTTTCAAAAATATAATCCTCCTCCTCTCAAATAAACGTACATACGGGTGGCCTCTTTTTTCAAAAAATTAAAATTTGAAATTTTGGGCTCAAATATTAGAGATTTTTTCAACCTTCAACGATATATGTTGTCTATATCAGACCTCCTTTCTTTTTGATACTTAACATTGTTCCTAAATCTTAGCCGTTAAGGCTGTTCTAAAAATATTTTTTTTTCGAAAAAATTCGAAAAAAATTCTTAAATTTCAAAAATCCCTTAATTCCTGAGGATTTTGGAAAAAAGTTTTTACATGAACATGTGTATATTATATGAAGTATATTGATAAGGTAAAAATCAAATTTTATTGCATATTCATCGAGAAAATAAACTAACGAATCCCTCAAAATTGAGAGGGTAATCCTCCTCCTCTCAAATAAACGTACATACGGGTGCACCCTTAATATTTTTGAATATTGGCAGTCTCAAGAAAAGTGACATCCTAGAAATTTACTGATAGCTTCCTTTCTCCTCTCTATTCCAGAAATGAAAGAATTTATTGGAGTACTCTAATTTATTACTCCAATTGGCAGCTATCTTGTATAATACAATTAGTTTTATCGTCAATTATTCTCCATCATTATTATTTATTTTGAAATCTATCGTTTAGATCTTTTTTGAGACAATCATTTTCGAAAATCGTCGATCTTGTTTTCCGTGATGCGCTTTCATAGTTAAAAAAAGAATTATTGCATTATTTTCATTTTGATAACTTAGTATGGAATTATTATTATGATAAAGATACAGACCATACTACATATGACAAGAATGAAACAATCAGTGAATCCGGAAATTGTTTTGTTGACGAAACATTCTTTTCATTTCTTAGTCCAAATGGCGTTATTCGAATTGAAGGAAACTCAAACACAAAACTCCTTGTAAGTTTTTCCACATTCTTAAATTGTTCAAATTTAAACACAACCTCATCAAATGGAGGTTGTATATACATGAATAAAGGCAATTGCATTAGTTATCGAGTTTGTAGTACAAAATGTAATACATTAAATATAGGATCATATTGTTCAGTATCTGCTCGATATTTATCGAATACTTCTCTTTATCTTACATCAATTCACTTGGGAAATTCAGAATATAGTACTTTTTGTTTATCTGAAGGATATACTAACTCGGTGTCAAATGTAAATGTTACTGACAACACTGCACAAGGAAAAACTGCATTTTTTGTTGGCCGTTGTAAGACTTATATTAATTACAGCTATTTCAGAGGAAATAAAGCAACATCAAGTCATGCAATATTTGCATATGAATATATTTTTTCAAACGAAACTTATTCTTGCATATTTTTGAATAATTCCGTTAATGAATCAGAAAATGGATTATTTTACTTTGAGGGTAGTGGTAATTTTATAATTAGAGAATGCATTATTAAGTACAACAAATATTCCAATTTAATTTATTCTGTTGGTGCTAATTCTGATTTTTATGTTTCATTTATCAATTGCTTAATTGAAGGAACAGATTTAGGTTATCCCGGAGATGCAGTGCTAGAAGTAGAAACAACAAATAGTCTTTCTCTTGAATTCAGACTTTATCCTCCAAGAGAATGTCAAACAGAAAATATTATAATGAATGATGATTTGCAAGATCGATATCGGAGATGCCTTGAAGATAAAAATGCACTTGAATTTAAATTTGGCATACGTCCTTGTCTGTATCATATTTTGACAATTGGCAGTAAATAAAAGTATTCACTCTTTAATATTATTTCACACATTTCTGGCATTTTGTCATGAGTGCGAAACCTCAAAAAATGCCGGAAAAGTGTAATTCTCTAGTATATTATTCTTCTTTTTGATTCTTAGTTTTTAATTTATATTAGCATTAGAATTTGAATGCATGCATATATAATTGAAAACCTCATGGAGTTGGAGTTTGTTTACTAACATTGAAAATAGATTGACAAAAAGAATTGAAGTTCAGAGTATATACATTTCCAATTTTGAAGTTGATTAAGTGAGAAAATACGGCTTCGCTAGTATTGTGTGAAAATATAACTATTTCAAATGAATTATACTATGATAGGCATTACTGAATGAGTGGATTTTTGGGGAAAATTGAACTTCAAACCTTTTGAAAACACTAAAGAATCATGAAATATATAAGATCGTATTTGAAGTCTCTGGAAGGTTATTTATCAAACAAAAAATCTTAAAAAAAAAGATAACGATAATTCACATTTTAGTATTCAATTTTGAATGGTAATGAAAATGGACCGTTAACCCTTAAAAGTGTCAAATTCTATAAAAATTCATAAAAAAATCGATATTGTTCATAATAATCAGATTCATTTGGTTAAATTGTGATATCTCAGTATGGAATAAGTATTATGGGAGTGATACAACTCCTGCTACGTATAACAAGAACAAAACAATTAATGATGCAGGAAATTGTTTTGTTGACGAAACATTTTTTTCATTCCTTAATCCAAATAGTGTTATTCGAATTGAAGGAAGTCAAAACACAAAACTTCTTGTTAGTACATCAACATTCTTAAGTTGTTCAAATTCAAATACATCCTCCAAACACGGAGGATGCATATACCTGAACCAAGGACAATGTATTAGTTATCAAGTCTGTAGTTCAAAATGTAGTACATTAAATGAAGGATCATATTGCAAAACAGTTGTTTCGGATTCTTCATCAAAAAACTATATTCTCCTTTCATCAATACACTCAGGAAATTCTCAATATAACTCTTTTTATTTTAGAAATGGAGATGTTTTGGTTTCTTTGGTAAATGATACCAATAACATAGCAAATTATAATCCGGCATTTTATATAGAGCAAAGTGATTACTTTTGCATAAATTACAGCTATTTCAATGGAAATAAAGCTACTTCCGGTGAAGTCATATTTCGATTTTATTCATATTCTCCATCAGAATCATATTCATGTGTATTTCTGAATAATTTAAATGTAGATTTGGGAAGCGGAATATTTGGATTATATTTTGTAGGTAATTATACATTTAAAGAATGCATTATTAAGTCAAATCAACATAAAAATTTGTTTTATTCAGGAAGTTCTAGTATTTATATTTATGTTATTAATTGTTTGATAGAAGAAAACATATGTTCAGTAACGCTTTCAGGAGATGCACAGACACAATTCGAAATAACAACTAATCTTCCTATTAAATTAAGTCTTTATTCTACAGAAGAATGCCCAATAGAAGAAGGTGCTAATGACAATAATGGCTGCGATAATCAATTTCAAGTTTGCAATCAAGAGAAAACAGCTGATAGGCCAAATAGTGGAATGCGACCTAATATTTACTGTATTTTTATCTCACTTCGTAAATGAATTTTTTCCCACTCAAAGTCAATAGTTAATTCTTCTATGGCAGATTTATTCATTTTATACTGCATATTTTTAGAAATATTGGGTTACAAGTGCGGCAAATCATTGAAATGAAAAATATTTTATTCTGAACTATTCTTACTTTGGAAAAATGAATGAAGCAAAATTTATGGATTCTCGTTCTGTTTCTCATTAATTTATATAACTACCAAAGATTGAATGTGAATAAACATATAATATAACTATGCAAAGCAATATAAAAAGTGCCATTTTCCTGCAATATAAAAAATCGGCATAGCTAATAAAAAGAAGATTCATTTGGATACACTGTGATATCTCAATATGGAATAAGTTTTTTGGAAGTCATACAACTCCTACTACCTTTAACGGGAACAAGACAATCAGAGAATCTGGAAACTGTTTTGTTGACGAAACATTCTTTTCATTTCTTAGTCCAAGTGGTGTTATTCGAATTGAAGGAAGTTCAGATACAAAACTTCTTGTGTGCAGATCTGCCTTCTTAAATTGTTCAAATATAAATTCAAATTTCTCAAATGGAGGATGTATTTACTTCAACCAAGGCCAATGCATAAGTTATCGAATCTGTAGTACGAAATACATTTCATTGAATGCAGGATCATATTGTGTTGCAGCTGTTTCCGATTCTTCATCGAAAAATTATATTTTTCTATCATCAATTCATCCAGGAAGTTCCACCTATACATCTTTTTCTTTCCAAAAAGGAGATGCATCAATATCTTTTGTAAATGATACTGACAACATTGCACAAGGAAATCCTGCATTTTTTACATATCAATGTCAAAATTTTTATATTAATTACTCCTATTTCAAAGGAAATAAAGCAACAAATGAAACCCAAGTAATATTTAGTTATTTTCAAGTTTCCTTGTCAGAAATTTATTCATCTATTTTTTTGAATAACTCTCATGTTGATGCCGGATGGGAAATATTTGGATTTTATAACTTCGGTATTTATAATTTCAGAGAATGTATTATCAAGTACAATGAGCATAAATATTTGATTCATGTAGATATACCTAGTATTTCAATCTCAATTATTAAGTGTTTAATTAAAGAAAATACTTATTTATACAATCTTTTAGGAAGTGCGGAGACACACATAGAAACAACAAATAGTCTTTCAATTGAATTACGTATCTTTTTTTAGAAGAGTGTCGAACTAAAAATATTTATAGCAGCAACAATAATTGTGAGGATCGATACGCATTCTGCATTGCCAAGAAAAATGAACTCGAATTTAAAATAGGTATGCAAACTAACCTTTATTATATTTTAACTGTTAATGGCAAATAAAAATATTCAGTGCTGTTATATATTTATTTGTCATTATGATGCATGTTGATTTATGATGTATGGCCGAATTTTTATCACTGCGCATTATTGTTGCCACCGATTTCTACATGAATACCGAATTATGTGCATAAGAGTATTAAAGGTTCTCTTTATATTATGAATAGAAGATTTGCTAAGAAATATTTCTTACATTATTAGCGTTTATGATATGATCATTGAAATAAAAGGAGTAATTAATTGGATATTAAAATGCGAATTGATAATGCAAGAACAGATTAAATTATAATCGAGATATGTAATTATTGCACACCCATTGGATGACTGGCCAAACATGCTTCCAGAAGAAATAGGTGATGGCATCTCTTCACGTCCATTCGCTATTACAATATCATAAAAGTACAATCCTGAGTAATGAATTGACTTTCCAGTATGAATAATATTATCTTCTGTCGAATTTTCAGCAATCGCATCACAGCCTTCGTAACCACTCACAAAGCTCGATCCTCCACTAGCCGATCCTGCATATGCAATACCTCCACCTCCATAATATCCGCCACCACCATTTGGCCCTGTATCAGGCAAGAAAGCTCCTGATCCACCAATCCCAAACCTTCCAGAAACGCCACATGCATACGGGCTGAAGGTTTGACAACCGTATAAACCTCCTGAGATCTGCGTACCACCAGTTGTTACGTTTGTTTTATACACAGCTGTTGAAGATATACCTACAAGACCTCCCCCATCTCCACCGCAGATTCTTTCTCCGCTTCCTGCACCAGCCGCAACCATAATACGACTTTTTAAATACTCAAAATCTGACCAAACATCTGATTTTTTGAGGCGAATATCGGTTGCACCGCCTCCAGTTTGAGATGACAAATTTTGTTTAACATTTCCATTAAATGATTGAGTAGAGAGTTTCCCAACTTCTCCAACATATACGTATAAATCTTGAGATTGATTTAAATATATTACTCCTGATACGTATCCTCCATTCATATTTGTATCAGTACAATTTTTTATATCGACATGATCAATGTAACCACCTGCACCCCATAGCTGAATTCGATATCTTCCTTCAATTGCATGGAAAACATCATATGTGCCCGTATAGTTAAATATTTTGACTCTATTTCGATCATGTTTTGTATAAATACCTATGAAAAAGACAAAATTATAAACTACTAACCAAAATAATTGATTTTTTGTGAAGCAAAATTTTTATGAAAGGTTTTTAAAATCTATTTGATCATGTGTTTACCCTTTAAATCAGCCATTTATCATTTCAATTGAACTAGCTATTCAAAATTCTGAAGGAAAATTTCATCCATATTCTTAAATCTATTCATAGTAAATAAACTGTATATTAAAATTAATGTATAAAACGAAATTCGTGTTACTTTTCTTCATTTTTCACTTCTTCGTCAAGAAAGACCAATCTTAGAACATTTAAATTAAAACCTTACGAATATGGAATGATCAATGGCGAAGTGTATTTGAAAATATTCTATCATGATGTAGATAAAGGAGGATTTTTTGATAGCGTCGCTCAGGCTAAATATAACCTAGATGAAAATAGATATTCAATTATATCTAATATCACAGATGAATTTAGAGATTCTGATGGAAAATTTACATTTCTGATATTATATCCAACTTTTGGAAGATATAATATTTGGCAGCAATCAAACTTTCCTTTACAAGAACCTAAGTTTACATCATCCCGAGAAAAACTATCCCCTGTAGAGGGATTCAATCCAATCAAGACATTCGCAAACCATTCAGAAATTAATTGCACTTGGGGAGGACTTGTTCTCACAAATTATCCCTATTACCTTCTCGATGGATGTCCAAATGGCGTAAATTGGAATTTTGCAATTGGATATACTGGCGCAAACACAGTTTTTCCTGATAGTATTCCTGCAGATGTTGGAACTACCAAGATCGTAAGCCTTTGGATGAAATCTATGCAAGATAAGGCAATTTATTTAGATTCATGTAAATTATTTAACTGCTTTAGATTCAGTATATCGTATCCCACTTTTATTTTATTAGTTGTTACATAAAATCTTATCAATATTACAATTATCATATATAAATCTAGTATGTCAATCGAAAATATAATAAACAACAGCCATAGATCAATACATATAGTTTGTCTATCTACCTTCAGAATTATACATATAAATTTTCATAATCCAATTAAATTAAAAAAAAATCTATTCATTTGATAGTCTTAGCTTCCAAATCATTGTCTTTACGATTTATAATTTGATATATATATATCAGATATTTGATAGATGGACCGCAGAGATCTTCAAGATTAGGCAAACCCAAATTTTAGCTAAAAGTGACAGGAAAAAAAACGTTTAGTATTAAAAAAAAAGACCGATGAGAGCTTCGTTCGAAATATAGAGGGAACTGAGAATGCGCAACCATTCTCAGGGAATATTGGATGCTATTCCCGTTCCCTCTGTATGGAAAATTGAGGTTTTCAAAGGGAGTTAAAATAATATCAAATTTATACTAATTTACTTCAAAATACAAAAGTATTTGACAGCTAAAATTAGTTACTTTAGCAAGACTATCAATACCCTTTTACGATTATTGCTACTTTTTCGAAATAAAAGTAAAAACAAATTTATACTAATTTACTTCAAAATACAAAAGTATTTGACAGCTAAAATTAGTTACTTTAGCAAGACTATCAATACCCTTTTACGATTATTGCTACTTTTTCGAAATAAAAGTAAAAACAAATTTATACTAATTTACTTCAAAATACAAAAGTATTTGACAGCTAAAATTAGTTACTTTAGCAAGACTATCAATACCCTTTTACGATTATTGCTACTTTTTCGAAATAAAATAAATTTATTATCAAAAACCTTTTTTTTCTTAGTAAAAATAAACGAAATTTTTTACCTTATGAACTTTTGATGGAAATATGCAAATTTAAAATAATAAAGAAAGCCGCGAGCGAAGCGATCGGCTTAGTTCGAAGATTTTGATTCAAATCTTTGCTGATCTGTAATTCGCGGAAGCCGCGAGCGAATCGAGCGGCTTAGGTCTAAGATTTTGATTCAAATCTTTGCTTATATTCCTTAAATTCTTTATGAAACTCGCAACAGTTCCATAAAAAATTTTAAATTCTAAACTGTCGAAATTACCGATCGGTAATCACACCCTTCACAGGTGTGTCACTTTTTACATGCGTGTCACTTTTAGCTAAAATTACCCCTACTCGACATTATTTAGCCAAATACTGAGATATACTTCATATACTCTGCCATAGATCCTGAATGTTTAGACCTACCTTGTAGATATCTATATGGCCCAGGGCCGCCACTTTTTTCAATTCTAGTAGTTATATTTGATCTTTGAGAAGAAGAACTGTTGCATGCTAAGATCAGTCATAATGTAAACCTCTCAATTTTATTGTTGTGGGAAGTATCTCAATTCCTTCAAAAAAATTGAAAAACTATTTAATTTTAAAAATATAATACTTTTAATTAGTTAATTAATTGGAGATATTTTTTAAAAATCACTTTTGATAATACTTTTGAGAACTTTAATTAAAAAAATATATTCAAAAATATCCAGGATATCAAGAGGGAATTGTTCCTTATGAGGTATATAGTTATGATGTATACCTCATAAGGAACAATTCCCTCCTTAAAATGAGAAAACTTGTTCGAAATTGTTTATCATTTCGAACAAGTTTTCTCGTTTTTAATAGGAAACTAAAGGCTATGAGGCACTGATTATATATTAGTGCCTCATAGCCTTTAGTTCCTAATAGATAGCTGGGGAACTTTCTCCAAATGATAAGTTATTCAGAGAAAGTTTCCCAGCTATCAAGAGGGAATTGTTCCTTATGAGGTATATAGTTATGATGTATACCTCATAAGGAACAATTCCCTCCTTAAAATCGGAGACATTTTTATACTTATTAATCAACCATTCAAAATCATATTCCTCTGAAAAGTTATTTTATTAAAAATTTAGAATTTTAATAAATATAGAGTTTGAATTTCATACAATACCTATATATTTTCAATAATGGAATTTGAAAACCATTCTCAAAAGTTCTCAGAAAACCTTTTTTTCATTAATTTTAAGAAATCTGAGTATTAAATTAAGTGATAAATTCGTTTGACACTACTTTAATTTTTAAATTCAAAAAATTATATGTGCTTCTTAAAATGACTCAAAAAAAATTTATTATAAAATAATATATAATATTAAAAATCCCACAACATTTTTTTACTTTACATAATCGTACTTCCTCGACGATTAATTTCCACTCAATTTCTATCATTGACCGAACTTAGCATGCAACAGAACTGCTCTTCGATTGGGATGATCCTTGCTTAGAACTCATCTCTTAAAAATGAAATGATTTCAAATTTTTTTGTCAAGAATTTTATTTCGAGTCAAAAACTTTTTTCCTAGTCAAAAATGCAGATTTTTTGGTAGAGTATATGAGTATGATAACTAGATTTGGATAAATAAAATTAATCAAAATTCTTTATAAATAACGCACAAAAAAATATACAAAATAAAATACAAAAAAATTACTTACTCGAATTCTTAATTTCTAACGCTGTCTGAGCAGTACAAGCAACAGCAGCAATGACCGTAAATAGAATAGAAATCAATGCCTGAACGGTTCTGTACCATTTTCTATTAGGAGTTGCTTTCATGAAGAACAAAGCAGGGAACAATAAAGTAACAACAGGAATCAAAATTCCTCCAACAATGTTGAAGAAAATCAAAATGTTACTTGATGTTGCTGCAAGGCCAGCAGATAACAAACAAAGAATGAAACCAGTGAGAATCCATCTTAAGTTTGTCATCTCTTTTCCTTTAAACAATGTTGCATCAACTGAGTTTCTTGCTGCCCAAATCATCAAAGGCGAAGAAACTAAAAGAATAAAAATAACGCAAACAGTTGCAACAATAGTAAATGGATTCTTTGCTGGATATAATTCAAGGGCTGATGATGCAGACAACAAATCAAATTTGTCAAGATATGTACAGATACCAAATGTTGCATACAAGAAGAAACAAGCAGTGATAATTATACCACTTAATGTAATTCCTCTCTTAACAGTACAATTCCTTAAGTGTTCGAGTGTTGGGAACAAGTTTATGATGCAATTATATGACATTGTGTTGATACCAAGGGCAGGAATGAAAATTAAGATGTCCCAATGGAACAATGTGAGTTCTTTGTTAGGATCAAATCCATATTCTTTGACATCTTTGATCAACCAGTATAAACTGTGCGAAATTAAAATTAATATCAACAAAAAGCCAACGGAAGAAGCAATTTCAAGCTTGGCAATGGACTTTGGAATAGTCATTGGGAAAGCGAGTAACAATGTTGTTGCAAAATTCCAGAATTTGTCGCTATTTAATACTTTGATTTTCAAACCAAGAGTTCTGTTAACTAATACGCCGTCCCAGTTGGAATATATCATCACTGAACCAATTTGGACGAGGAAAATGAATAAGTCAAGTACCCAAATAAATTTTGGATTGAAAAGATGAGTAAAGAGACCTCTGAAGTCATATTTCTTTGTAATGAAGGCTGCTTCAATCATCATTGTGAATGTACTGAATGTAATTATTCCAATAATGATTGCAATTAAAAGAGCAGAAACGATACCGAGTCTGTAACAATATGGAACCATCAAACAACCGGAACCAATTGCAGTATTGATAAGAATGACAAATGCACCAAACATGCTCTGATCCCCTGTTGTTTCTTTTTCGAAAAGTTGTGCATTGAAATTAATTGTTTGATTGTCTGATTTATCATCAATTGAACTTGACTTGTTCTCTGTATCTGTGGAGTAACTTGATTTATTGTCTATATCACTGAGATCGTGCTGATCTTCCATATCAAATAATGAATTTAATAGGGTTGTTCGATTCCCGACGATAGGTGTCTTGGAAGATTTGCCTGGTGTCATCATAGTGTCTTTAAATCAAAAATTTTATTTTGGAGTTAGTTTTATTGATTGTTCAATAAAAAACATTTCTAAAACAAGAAAATAAAACGATAAAATATTTATATTTTATATAAGGATCTTATATATTTAAAATAAATATCATTTTATTTTTTTCATTGGTGTCTGTCAAACCATAATACACTATTCAAAAATTCAATGTGCCTTGCGGTTTCAAAAGACACCTTCAAATTGAACGATAGCACAGACACTATTGAATTTTACCCATTTTATTTAGTTTTTACCCTTTTTATTTTTAAGAATTAATGACTGAAACAGCCGTTTTGCTATGACCTCAATCACTTTTATTTATTATTTTAAATATTATAAGGGTTTCGTTTTGCTAAAATTGTCACTTTTATAGCATATTTGTTTTTGGATGTTTTGCGAAACCAAAAAAAAAACTATGATATACAATGTGTGTGTAAAGAAAATACTTTATTTACTAGTTAAAAAATCATTTGGTATTGATCAAGTTATTTTTTCTGGATAAGATATTATATGGATAATTGGATAGAAAATACAATTATATAATCTTGTACCTGGTTTAATTAAGCTAATTGTCATCAGAAACTTGTAATTTTTATGAATTTCAGATTTTCTTTTCATTACTGCTTTTCTTAATAGGTCAAGTTCTTATTTACGTTATAAAGTATGATATTTACAAATATCAAGTTATCATGTTTTTTGAGAAATTATGAGAAACAAACAAAAATGAAAAAGATAGGAATAGCAATGAATAGTGATGTGGGTATAGAAAATGTAAGAGATTGAATGCAAAGCAATCAGTATTTAGGATATTGACCATAGATTTCGAAAAAAAATGCTGCATATTGAGCGAAAACTATGATTATATTATAAGGCTGTCATTTAAAGCATAATGAAACTATTCCCTTTTCATTTTAATCGAATAAGATAGTAAAGATTTTTGAATTAGCTAGAAACTGATGAGATGTTTTCACAAATCAGATTTTTAATCTCTATAATGCATAATTCACTCAATATCTCAATTTTGATATTGCGAGATATTTTTGCTATCGGTTTCGCAATTTTGACACAATAGCAAGAGGGTTCTATAAGCATTATTATCAACGTAGAATCTGAATATCATATCAGAAAATGTCGCAAATCTGACATTTACCCGACCAAATAGCAAAAATAATTGAATACTTTTCGCAAAAACCTTAAAAATCGATAAAAATATGAAATATAGATATTAAAGAGACTTTTTATATAATATTCATAAAGATTTTCCAAAAATATGATACCGCAAAATTAAAAAAGTGACGTCTTGAGTGGAGTCAAAGGTCGAAATTGCTAGCTAAATGTTTTTTTAGCGAAATTGCGTATTGTACGTTTTTTCGCAAAACGAAACCCTTAAATATTATTTAATTTTATTATTTGAATAGGCCAACTTATATTTGAGAAGCTCAATTTGAGACCACTTAATACATTGAAATATCATAAATATTGAAATATTAAAAAGTGTATTTCAAAATATTGAAATTATAAAAATTTATAATACTGAAATTGAGACAAATTAATAAATTCAATGTGTTTTTTTTTGAAATAACTCTCAAATATTATTTTTTTGTTTATTTAATGATGAATAAATATGATTGCTTTAGTCAATCATAAAAACTAATTTAAGTTTAAAATAATGAAAGGATAATTTGATCGTTTTTTAAAATACAATTATTTTTGATGATTTGCAAGAATTTTTGAAAAGAATATAATATAGGTTCTATTTTTGTAAAATTTATCCAAATCATGTATTACATAAATTACGATTAAAACGATGAAAGAACCAAAAAGTGTGTTTTGTGTTTTGTTGTTGCGTGTTGGATGCGGGATCCTGTTATTTCCGAAATCGACAAAAAATTTGGAAATTTAATTTCCGAAATCGAAATTATATTAATGTTTTTAATATTCTTATATCAAAAGGATTAAAGTTCAAAAAAAAAAAAAAAAAGGTAGTGGGGCTTCCAGGCGCGTTGCGCCCTCTAGCCCCAGTCACTTTTCTGTCACTTTTCAGGAAAAAACATTTTTATTATATATATATAAAATGAATTTTACAAAACCACCGTTACCCTTCTTTGGAAATAAGAGTAGATGTAAAGATATTCTATTGAGAGAACTTAAGAAACTACCGAATGGTCTAACATTTGTAGATTTGTTCGGTGGAAGTTTCTATATATCTCATTTGTGCCATACCGTATTCCCAGACTCAAAGATTATATGCAATGACTTCGACAACTATATGAACCGTCTCAAACATATACCAGACACAAACAAAATATTGAGTGAGTTGAAAGAAAAGATACCTATAGGTAAGATGGAAAGTATACCATTAGATAAGAAAAATATTGTAAGAGAGGTTTTGAAAAAAGCAGAATATATTGACTGGGATAGTATATCTGCTAGACTATTATATAGTGGTTCTATAAGAGTTCATGACATTGAAACACTTATGTCAAAAGTTTTATATCTTAACTATACAAAGGTTTTCAAAAAAGAACATAGAAAAATATATTGAGGGTATAGAGTTTGTGAGATGTCATTGGACAGAGTTGTATGAAAAATATAAAGACAAGGAAAATGTTTTCTTTATAGTGGACCCGCCGTTCTATAACACATGGATTTTCAATACCAAGTAGACTGGACTTTGAGAGACTCTTTAGAAACTTTAGACGTTTTACATAACCATCCATGCTTTTACTTTACATCCGATAAAAGTGGTTTGGAAACCGTTATGAGATGGTTAGAGGACATACATGACTATGAGTTTAGATATGACAAGATAGAATATGAGAGAGGTCCTATAAACCGGAGAAAGTGTCACAACAAAGAAATTTTATTGGTAAGTAAATGTGGTTTGAAATAGGACTACTTGTTTTAGGTTTTTTCCATTGTGTCATTTACTTATTTGACGTGGCAGAAAGATATAGAGAATATGAAGATGAACCAATGTCTGCAAATGTTCAGCATATGTACTCGTAAGAGATATTTTTATCTAATATTAAATGGACGCACAGAACTTAGCGAATGCACAGCAACCTGGACAACCAAACCCAGAGAATATTCCAAATGAAGTTAGAATACAAACTGCAATGGCAAACTATGGTCAAGTGCCAACAGATGTACAAATGCAAACTGCCATGTCAAATGACGCTGCGTTAGGTTTGCCACCATGGTATGCAAATATGAGATGGAAAGAGTTTTATACAAACCCTGAAGTGGGATATAAACAACTTTATGCAGATGACGCGAACACAGGAGTTGACCCGGAATATGTTTTCTACCAGAGGAGAAATAGAATGTATGAGCTCCAGTTAAAGAATGCAATGGAACTCAGAAGGAAACGTAAGAGACTAGGCGGACATTAGATTTTTACATATAGTAAAATGGGTTTCTTTGGAAGAATAGGAAACTTCTTTCGAAATGTTGGAAGAGGTATATGGAATGGAATAAAATCTGTCGGAAGAGGAATTTGGAACGGAGTCAAAAATATTGGTAAAAGAGTAGGTCAGTCCGTTGGTATTATACCTAAAGACCCTGAACCAGAAGAACAAGCTCCTGTTATACAACAGCCTGAACCTGCACCACAGTCTAATTGGCAACCAAATCCAACACCTCAACCGTATTAAAAAATTATATTTTACCGTTCGATAGTAGTTGTATATGAAAAGTTCTAAGTAAAACGCGTGGTATAATGGAACTATTCTCTTTCTTCCATCTGTTGTAAACCATACTTGAAAGTCTGAAATACTTCCACTCGGCGGTTCATATAGCTTTGTAGGTTTTTCGTAAAAGTCATTTGCCAAGCATAAAAAAGAGTTTTGTGCACCAGAAAATGAAGCATGAACTATAATAGCATCTGAGTCGAAAACATTTTCATATGTTCCATTAGGGTTTTCGACTTCATAAAAGTTCGGGTGTACTGGATATTCTGCAGGCTGATTTAACATCCTCAAAAATCTATACCATGCCAAGTTGTTATATTTTGTAGAAATATAAACGTTTTCTCCAAGGTCTTCTATTCTATCGATTTTAACAGTTGCATTTTTCCTGTCATAAACAATATCGAGATGGTACTCTCCTTCGTCAATGTTATACTGTTTTGCATATTCGAGATAGATATCGTTTATTTTTCTTGAAAAGCTTGAAGAGTTGTTTCTAAATTTACAAGCAAACTAACTTGTAAAAGTTTTCCCTGTTCAAATTTCTCATACGTACGTTTTTCTTTGTTATAGTATCGAACTTCAAAACCGACCGTAAATGGGAAACCATGTATGGCTTCTGAAATGAACTTCATTCTACGAAAGCCAATAGCTTTTGTGACGGATGGGTCTCTTAACCATCTCAATGGGTAGTCAAAACGATAGCCTTCATGCTTTACGGTCTCTGTCTCAAACTTTTGACCTACATTAGTAAAAAGTTCATCTAATGGTTTAGTTGTAGCAACTCTTGAATTTTCTTTTTTTCTATTGAAAGCATATTTTATCTAGAATAAAAATGTCGAAAGAAACAGCGTCTATGAGAGAAATACAACACAACCGACAACTCATTATACAAGCTCTAAATAAGAACACAACAAACTTTTCAAACTATTCTAAGATATCTGAGTCATTGAAAGAAGGAAACTTAAAACTGACAATGAACCCAATGACAGATGAGTTTCTGTTTCAAGACAATAAGAACCATACTGTCTGTATAAATCCAACAAAAGGAACTTTAAACGAGAAACCTATAAAAGAACTTCTTTTGAAAGCAGATGTTGACAACAAAGCTGACAAAGAGTATGTCATTGAAAAAGTTCAAGAAGAACATGACAGAGCAGATGCAACATATGCAACAAAAGAACATACTCATCCTGAACTAGCAGACAAAAC